TCCACCTGCCCTTCCACAGCATGGGCTCGGCTTCTGAGTGACAGAATGGCGGGGGAGTGAGAACAGAACGGCAAATGAACAGACGCGAGTTCGACTCACACGCCAGCCCTGGAGAACACTGCTCCCGGGCAGAGAAGGCTAAGGGAAAGAAGCATCAGCCCTCTCCCTCAGGACCCGCCCAGCAGACTGGTTGGTGCCTGTTGACCCCTCTGGGCACAAGCCGCTGTCATGTAAGTGAAATGTAACCTGGACCTACAGATCACCTGGCTGCCCCTCCTATCTTGCAGTCTCTGCACCCTACTCTCTCCCACACTCAGTCCCATCAGGAAAGTTCTGGGGTTGATGGCCATACCTGGCCTGCTCAGCCTCAGCCTGGAGCCTGCGGGCCCGTGCAATGTCCTGCTTGGTCTGGGACAGCACCAGGTCCACGTTGGGGAGCCTGGCTGCGATGGCCTGGATCTCATTCATCTTGCGAAGCACCGTGGCAGAGTCTGTGGGCAGCCAGAGAGCCAGCACTGCCTCGCTGACTTCCTGAATGGTGGCTGCATCTGTGTCCGGGTCTGAAAGACAGCCAGCGAGTCCTCAGAGTGGGGCCCCCGTTCGACGACCCCAGGGTTGGCAGCCCTCCAGGCTGAGCAACATCTCTGTAGTGTCCACCGTAACCCCTTTGTTGTGCTGCCCCGGGAGCTCTGCCCCTCCCAGCCAGACCCAGGCATCCCTCTCTGGGAGTTTCCGGGACACTGTAGAGTGCGTGTCCTGCGGAAAGCGTGGGCACAGACGTGGCAGCTAAGTGTCTAGTATCACAGGAAACCGCAGACTTGGAGGAGGAGGTGGTGCTAGGCAGCTGCTACCAAACAATGCGGCAGCACACACATAATCAACCCTAAATTGGGGGGGGAGGGGAGCGAGGGACTGGAGCTGCCTCCTTAGCAGTAAGTCCCCTTCCCCTCACCCCTCTTCAGGCCTGAGCGCCTCGTTTTTGCAAAAGCAGAGGACTGTTGTTCTTTCCTGGACTGTCACCTTCTCAGAGAGGCCAGCCCTCCTCACCGTTCCCCCCACCCTTCTCTCCAGCAGGCGGTGTCTCCCACAGGTGAACACTGAGCTGACCTACTACATCTCTCCATAGCTAGTGTTAGAGCCCGAGGAGAGCCCGGGCTTTGACACAGCAATATCTGCCGACCCCAGCACACGGCCCGCCCTCGAATGCGGTGTCTCCCACAGGTGAACACTGAGCTGACCTACTGGCCTTCATCTCTCCATAGCTAGTGTTAGAGCCCGAGGAGAGCCTGGGCTTTGACACAGCAATATCTGCCGACCCCAGCACACGGCCCGCCCTCGAAGGTCCTCTGTATTTAGAGGGATAGATGAAGGTATAAGGACGTGTGCCTGCTCAGGTCTCCCCTTCGCTACCCTAGTTACCTGAGACCAGTTTCCTGCGTTATGGTAGCAGTTTCTTCAGATAAAACCTTCCATCTTGGAGGGAAGTTGGGCAAACCAACAGGGTGCTTTGAAAGGAGCTGAAACATTCCTGCAGCAAAGCTCATTAAGCTCGGGAAATGAACAACTCAGTAGCTTCAGGAAGTCCCTAAAACTGACCAGGTTCACTGGGCCCCTCTCTCAAGATTGCTTGAGAGACCCTTTTAGACAACAGGGCTTCCTACAAGAAGCAGAGGCCAGCCCAACTGCCTGGAAGAGGTTTAGACCAACTGAGCTACCCAAAAGGACACTCTCCTACCTGTCACCTGCCTGCAGGCTGTGCAGAGCTCCAGGTTCCCAGCTTTCCTGAGCTGTCACCATGCTGGGTGGGCTCTTGGTGATGCAGCTGTCTGTGAGTCAATTCTGCTCCTGTAAGTAACCCTCACCCATACTTGTGTAAGTAGCTCCAATAAAACTCATTGGTTCACCAACTTGGACTTTGGTGGAATCCTTACTTTGGTCTGTGGTTGCTTCCCTGTCTGGGGTGAGTAGACATCTGTTCACATCTCCCCATGAATAGTATCACACAACATCCTGACCTGTGAAATTTGACGAGCGGCCCCCATTCTGGCTGTGGTATGTCACCATCAGTTAACAAGAGTTTTTACAAAGCGACTCAGAGGGAAAGTCAGGTCAGAAGTACAGAGGCAAAGCCTTCTCTCCACCTATTCCCACTTCTGGAAGGAAGTGTCTGGTCACCCAGAGGGTCTAACCTGGTCTGAGTTCCTCTGGGGCTCTGGGCCCAGCCTCTCTTCATGAACAGCTGGCAACATAGGTCCCAGCCCAGCCCCTCCCCACTCAGGCCAGCCACTGTAGCCGTCTGGCTAAGCAGACTTCCTGAGGAGGGAATCTGCCCACGGAGAGCCTGCTCTCTCCTTGAACCCAGTGCCAAACAGGGCTGAAGGGACTCCGTCCCCAGAAAGCCTCCCTCCAGGAGTGCAGCCCCACAGGTGCTTCCTGTATCATGCACAACTGCAGTAGCACCGCTGGGTGTGCAGTGCACCCAGTCCGCGGCCTTCTGGGTCAGAGTAGGCTCCATGAATACCAGCCCTGTACCGCATGTGGAGTTGAGCGAGATCACGTCAGACTCGGGCTCTTGCCCCTGTGGAGCTCAAAATGTAGTGGGAGCAACAGGTACATGTGACCTGCAGGGGGTAGGCTGGGGCTGGGGGTGGGGAGCCCCTCTGGAAGGGCTGGGGTGTCTAAGAGGCTTCTTAGAGGAGAAAAGATGAGCCAGGTTAGAAGAGGCAATGGGCGGGGGGTCCTTAGCAAGAGCAAGAAGCTCTTGTGTGTATGGTTCTGTGTGTCTCTGTGTCTGTCTGTGTCTGTCTGTGTCTGTATGTGTTTGTGTATTTGTATTTGTATTTGTGTGTCTGTTTATGTGTCTGTGTATGCCTGTGCTTATGTCTGTATGTGTATGCCTGTGTGTCTGTGTGTATGTGTGTATATATATGCATGTGTCCCATAGTGCAATAATGTAAATTGTGGACTGCAGCGTGAACTCTGGGGCTTGAGTGCTATCTGTACCACCGATAGCTGGTGACCTTAGGCAGTAGCTTAACTTCTCTGTGCGTGAATTCCCCACAAGGGAAGTAGAGGTAAATTTAGCTAAGTAGTTGGGATTAAGGAATGTGGTCTAAGCTCTTAGAATGCTGCCTGCTCCACAAGCCCCAGCTGTGAACTTCCTCAGTCCAACTGAAGGCTGTCAAAACCAGCAATCTCCTTCCTGCACAGACCTGCCTCACTCTCTTCCCCTGTCACAGATCTGCAGACAAGAATCTCCAGGGTCCTACCTGCACCCGAGCCTCTCTCGGGGCCCACACTTCCTTTGCCCTGCACCCGTCACAGGACTTGGCATGAGATACTGCCTCACTGAGAGGACAGAAGAAGCTTCCAAGGAGGGAGGCAGCCTGAGCCAGGCCAGCACAGCTTAATGCAGGAGGGCCACCTGGCCTCCCAGGCTGGGCTTGGGACAATCCCTCCTTATCTTCTGGTCAAGTCCCAAACGCTGGCTGTCCTGTCATCCTTGTGTACTGGGGACCTTCTCCCTGTACCCCCTTTACATGTTATCCGAGTGGAGCCACCTGGCCTTAAATCACGGGCCTCGGTGGACTTCCTGCCACGCTCCAGCCTGCCGTCTGCACTCAGGAAAGAGCTTTGACCTATTTAGGGCAAAAACACTGCAGCAGTAGCTGAGAGCCTCTGCAGCCACACCCAGCCCTCAGCTCAGATCACCCCAGCTCTCAGCCAAGCAACATCCCTGGCAGGGACCTGAGATCTAACAACATCAACTCACTCTGGAGGCACCTTTAACTTTTCAAAACACATTTTACAGCAGTTATCAGTCCTTAGAATAAATGTGTGAAATACTACCATCCCCATAGGCAAGGGAAGCCACCTGCCCTGAATCACAGTCCTCTGAGTCCTGTCTCATCCCCAAGGCAGCGAAGAGACCTGATGACCCATTCATTTATTCCACCAGGACACTTGGGGGATCTGGCCCTCAACCACGTGACACAGATAGAGCCATGAACGAGACAGACAGACAGCCCTGGCCTCCTAGTTATACATTCATAACCACTTCTGAATGCAGGGGTGAAGAGAGAGGGGAGGAGAGGTGCACAGCGTGCATACAGACAGGAAGGTCGGGAAAGGCCTCTCTGGAGAGAGGGCATTGAAAGCCGCCATCTTAGAACTGTCTGTCCCAGACAGGCAGAGAGCAAGTCAAAGTCTCTGCAGCAGGCTCGGGCCAACAAGTTCAAGACCATCCAGTGAGTGAAGAATTGAGAAGTTCAAGGTCACAGTGAAAAGACGCAGAGGCCAAGGGGCCAGGGCTCGTCCAAGAACTCCGGGAGGCAGTTGATTGATTTTAAGCAAGAGAAGACATGGTTTAACTTGCATGGTTTTAAAAGGTGTTCTGGGGGACGGGAGAGATGACTCCACAGTTAAGAGCACCAGCTGCTCTTGCAGCGGACCTGGGTTTGACTCCCCGTACCCACGTGGCAGCTAACCACTGTCCATAACTCCAGTTCCAGGGGATGCGATGCCCTCTTCTGACCTCTGTGGGCACTGCACGACATGGGTGCACTCACAGACACACGGGCAGGCATTACAGTCATACACATAAGAATAATAATTAAGTTTTTAAAGGCGCTCCAGGTTGTTCTGTTGAGGAGCAGGTAGGGAGGTGGGCAGACAAGAGGCCATGACCTAGGGAGATGGGGCCAGGCCAGGGTGGGCAACAGGCATGGCAGGAAGAAGGTGGTAGGCTGATGAGCCAGAGGTGGGCACAAGGGGCTGGCAGGAGCCAGAGTGCCCGCCGAGGAGTGAAAGGCAGCTCACCTGCAAGGAAGGCCCGGACCTGCTGGATGAGAAGTCGTGTGCGCTGGACATCTTCTTCCATCTTGGAGCGGCTGGTGCTCACCTGGGTCTCAAGGCGCTGGGCATCTGACTGGACTTGTGAGGCAGCTTCCTCTGCGGCCCTGATCTATTGACACGCAGCATGGTAGAAGACACAAGCAACCAGCAGGGCACCTACTGCAAACCACTTGTAACCAACCCAGTTTGGAAGTGATATTCATGTTGGATTTCAAGAAAAAGCCACAGACATCAGCTCCAAGTTCGACCGTGCCCTTACTGTGGGCCATTATACAAGTCAGCTGACGTCTCTGGGCTTTATACTCCTACCAACTGGGAACGCTGAATTGCCCACGGGACTGTGTACACTGTCCCTTCATCCCAGACCTTATGGCACTCACCATCTGCCTGGTCTGCTGGAGCTGGGAGTTGAAGTCCCGTAGTTGCTCGGCTGCCTGCCCTGCCATGTGAAAGGCCCCTCCAGCCCTGGGCAGGGTTCCTGTGCAGCGAGAACCACAGGCCGTGCCATTGTCGTGGGGACACAGTTCTCCAGGGCACGTGCCTGGTGTGCAGGCCGTTTGCCTAGAGCTTCCACAGAGCTGCAGAGAGACAGGGGTGTCAAAGAGGCCCCTCCACGACCATTCCCGTCCCACACCAAGGAAACAGACAGCCTCACATCTCCATGGCAACCGGGCACCAGAACCGTGTTTCCCTGGCAACCCCTGAGCGCACAGCATGGGCTTGGGGTCGGGAGGAGTAGGGTAGATATCAGTGGAACAGCTTGTGGGAACACAGGGCCTTCAGGAAGTGGGACTCCCATCCCCAGTCACCTTGTTGATGGTGGGTGTCAGGTTGGGCAGCGAAGCCATTTCCAGACGCAGGGTCACAAGCTGGGGTCCTCCAGCCCCTCCTCCTCCCCCAGCCTGCCTCTCCAGCTCCTCTGCCTCCCTGCGACTCTCCTTGAGCAGGCTCAGCAGGCGGGTGCTGTCAGACACCTGCTGTGCAGCCTGGGAGGACTGCTCGAAGGCTGCATTCAGCATGCGGAAGGCTCCTGAGGAAGGAGAGAGGTTGGAGCTGGCCTTGGAGGCCTCGGGCCAGGAGGAGGGCTAGGAGGCAGGTGAGGAGCCTGTGCCCCTGTCCTCACCTGAAGGATCCATGGTGCTTAGCTTTTCAAACTGCTCCCTCTTGCTCTGGTACATAAGGAGGAGGCGATTGAAGCTTCTGTCTAGACTCCCCAGGTCTCCTGAGAAGGACTCCATCTCTTCCTCTAGGGGCATCTCCACTCGCAGGCCCTGGAGCATCTGTCTGAGATGGGGGGAGGGCATTCCTTGAACTATGGGGAGAAGCCACGGCTGAGTCAGGAGGAGCAGGCTTCCTGGGAGAGCGTGGCAACCTGGACAATCCATGGGCTGCTACGGATGCCGCCAGGCAGAGCGTGGGACAGACTGGGGCCAGGGCCAGCTTCCCTCTGCAAGGGGGTCTGTGAATGCTCTCCCTCCTTGACTTCCGTCAGTCTAACATCTGGGGTTAACATCTCCAGCTCTTCCAGCTCCCCGCTGTTCCTGGCTTCTGTCAGAAGCACTGCCCTGCTGGCTTCTCCAAGCTGACCTCAGCCTCCACCTTTATTTCTCTTCGGCACCCCCCCCCATGGAGTGTGACTCCAATGCCTACCCACTGGACATGCCCACCTGACAGGCTCAGGCTGTCACTCAAGCCCTGGGCCACTGCACCTGAGGGCTAGGGGCTCTGCTCATGCCCTCTGCTGCCCTACTATGCTTCCTCCCTTCTACATACCTCGCCTCGACCACACTGCCTTGCTCAGGCAGTGTGCCCTTCCAGGGCCTGCCACAGCACATCACTCTCCTATGTTGACCACCTGAGGACTAGCTGCCCAATTCTGAGACTTAGGCCCGAAAGCAGTTCCCCTGTGAAGGCCTCCGTGGCCTCCCGTGTGAGAGTTTTAGCTCTCTGAGGTCCCCCAGGTATTACTTCACTGCTCACAAAAGGGACACCTCCACCTTGGCATATGAAGAATCAGTCCTAATATTTTAATGCTCCTGGAACCTTGTGCAATGCTTGGCTTCTATTAGATGCTTAAAACCCATTTGGAGGAGCTAAGGAGATGGTTCAGTCAGAGGATAAGAGTGTTTGCTCTGAAATCATGGGGACCTGAGTCCAAATACCCAGCATTCAGGTAATCTTCTGATTCCATGAGAGCCATGGCTTGAGGCATAAGGAAGAGAGCACCCCCAGCATCCTGCTCGGACATCCACAAGCACGTGCACCTGTACACTCACCTGCATGCAACACACACACACACACACACACACACACACACTCACACACACTCACACACACATGTGGGATGAATGAATAAATGAATGAACGAACGAATGAACAAGACCCAACACTTGCTGGAGCTCTTCCACTGAGCCCGCCAAAGGAGCCCTAACACTCCATAAGTAACAGAACCCCTTCTTCATTCTTCTCGGGCTTGGCACCACCCACCACCAATGTTCAGGGAATGCAAGCTAATTATAGAAGCTTCCAGAACCTAAGCTCCCAAAGAAGGCAGCTCTGCTAGAAGGAGGGGCTGTAGGTGGGACTGCCTTCATTCCAAAGGCAAGTTCAGAGATATTTTTAGTGCCCCTGCCTCTTGGGTGGCCTCTGCCAAGGTGACTAATTCAGGGCTGACCCTCCCACTTGACCACTCTAGGCACTTGGACAAGCACTGGGCTCGGGCTCCAGGACCTGGGGTGGCCGCATAATTCAGCCACATCTGTGCCTATCTCCACATCTGCAAAATGGAAGCTACCATCCTGCCTCACTCACCCAAGCCCATGACATAATCTCTCCAGTGATTTGGCAGGGATAGGGCTTACCTGATGGTCAAGATAGCATTTGCCACCTGGGCTACATCCTGCTCTGTGATCGAGGCGCCACCCAGGATCTCTCGGATCTGCTCAATCTTGGTCTTGGCATCTAGCAACCGAGAGGCCAGGCCATGGTCCTCCAGACCTGTCCCTGTCCTCAGGCCTTCGGTGGTGTTGCGGAGACCACCAAGGCGCAGAGCCTGCTCCTGGAGCTGGGCGTCGTAGGTGTGGAAACAAGAGTGGCAAGCCACACACACTGGGTAGCGGTCACAGTAGCCTCGCTGGCACTGATCACAGCGGCGCCCGGTCAAGCCAGGGCGGCAGAGACAACGGCCTGAAGTCTTGTCACAGCCAGGACCCTCTGTTCCCCGGAAGTCGCAGTCACAGGCTAGAGCAGGGAGAAATGACAGTTGGCAGCCAGGGCCAGGAGAGGAAGGAGCTTGGTGAGATCAACAGCGTCTGATTTCCAATGTCTGATGGCGAAAGCCACAACAGTGACTGACCACAAGCTGGTCCTCAGCGCCTACTGCACACCGGGCAGATTCTGAATCACACACTCACCCACACAGAACCCATCTGATCTGCACACCTGCTGTGTGTCCACACTGATTTCCGACTCTTGAACAGAAGACGACCAAGGTACAAAACAACAAAGAGCACACAGCAAACGGAAGACGCACGGAAAGGGAACAGCTCACGGGGCTGTGTAAGGCAGAGCTGCCTGCCAACTCCCCATCTCCCGCCATCGCAGCTACATAGCTCCCCAGAAACTGACTTCCCACCCCTCAGGATGCTCCTTCCCCACCGATGCTACGGGAAGAATCTGGCCCTCAGCTGCTGCTGGGGAGTTGGAACAAGGCCACCCTCCTGTCCTGGGGCCATGAAGGCCACCGTTAGGAGTCAAGCAGTCTCAGCGTGTAGATGCTGACAGGCCTGCCCAGGCCGTCAGTAGGCCCTTCACCAGGCATCGTTATCCCATACCACCCACACACTTGTCTCCTGTGTATAAGCACGTACCTCGGCACCCAGTAGTCATGTCTCCATGAGTCTGGTCTGGACATTGACGGAGAGCTGCAGAACTGCATGTCAGGCCACCGAACCCTTCCCGGCAGGCACACTGCCCTGTGAACTGAGTAGGCAGAAGACCATCAGGGACCCTCCTTCCCAGGCTCTCCCTGGACTTGCTACTGGGAACTGTGCCCCAGGCCCCTGCTCTGCAAAGCTGATGCTCCTCCCAAACCAAAGCTCCTGCTCAGAAACCAGCCCAAAATCAAGGCCCAGCACTGAAGCGCAGAAGGGGTGCAGAACAGGCCTGGCCCAAGACTGCGAGCCACAGAGGGAAGGCCATCTGGTCACCTTCCCTGAGGGGAAGGGGACAGACACAGCCTTGCCTGACTGTAGGAAGTCCAGAGGACAGTGTGAAGGAGACACTAGCAGCGGGATTCCTCTGTGACTGAAGGACTCCTGGGGCCACCCTCCCTCATACCTGGTTGCACTGGGGACTGAGGGAGTTGCGTGGGTCACAGGCACAGGGCTCGCAGCCCCGGCCGCTGGCCAGCTTCCAGTGGGAGGGGGCACACTGGTCACATTTGGGGCCCACCACGTTGGGCAGACACAGACAACGCCCAGTCTCCTCTTCACAGGGCATATCCTGCCGGGCACCTAGGATGCTGCAGTCACAGCCTGTGAGAGGAAGGGCTACTGAGTGTGGGCAGGCTCCCCAAGAGAGGGGAGCCCCAGAAGATGCATACCAGAGAGGGGCCAGCCCTGGAAAAGCACCTCAAGGACTACCCCACCCACCCCGAGGCTCTGCCTGGTCCTGCTTTGGGGGACTGCATCCCAGACCCCTGCTCTACAGACAGAATCCAGGGTTAGACACCGTCTGCAGAGCTGGTGTGTCTCCCCAAAGCAGAACTTCTACTTAGAGACCAGCCTGAAGTCACAGGGCCTGTCTTTGTATTGTGCATAACATGGCTGACGCACAAGGCCACAGTGCCTCCCCAGCCACCTGGCAGCTTGGGCCTGGCCCGCCCACCCTTGGCTCTGGCTGACTCAGACCCATCTTCCAACTCAGGCTTGTGCTGCCACCTGCTGGAAATCAGTGGTACGGCAGCAGGTGCCTGCAGCGGGGTTTCCTCTGGAGAGCTCCCTGAGCCCAGCGCAGCCTGCCCGGTGCGACACCACACCCTACTCACGGTGACAGCCCTGCGGGTTGGCGAAAGTGAGTCCAGTGAAGCCTGGCTTGCAGAGGTCACAGCGTTCTCCTTGCACATGTTCTTTGCACACACACTGTCCGGTCACTGTGTCACAGGGAGCCCCTGGCACTGCTCCATCCGGGTCACACTCGCAGGCTGAGAGCCAGGAACAAAAGAAAGTTAGAGCTCAGAGCAGGTGCTAGGATCTGAACAGACTCTTCCAAATCTCCAGTCCACCATGGGCCTCTGGCCTCACTGCCCAGGAAAGCATATAACCTTGGGTGCCTGTCTAACCCTCTGCCACATGGGAAATGACACCACCTGCCTAGACTTCTGAGGAGTAAAGGTGTGAGACCAAGCACACCAGACAGTGCCTGGCTCACATGAAGCACCACATTCCAGCTTCCGTTGTCACTGAGTGACTGGCGTGCACCAAGCATTCAGCGAGCCCTCTCACAGGCGGCTGTGCACGGTCCTTGCTATAACCCCAAAAGGCAGGGATTGCCAAACAGATGAGGAAACTAGGGCTTGGAGATGTTAAAGAGCTTCCTGTAGATCACACCAGGAGGGAAATCAGGCTCCGGGTCAAGTCCATCTCACTCTTTCCAGACAGATAACACCAGCACACAGCCAGCTCTCCCCTGTTACTTCTCTTTCCATCTGGAAGGCTTTTCCCGCTTAACCCCGCCTCAAACACCTGTTCTCGCCGGCTTTCCCCGCCCTTTGCGAATCATTGGCCTGGCAGGCATGTTAAGCCACTTCACCAATATAGTCAGTCAGTCAACAAAGCCTCCTCAGACTGCAGTGATTTGCCCATCATTGTGCCAGGGCCATAGCTTCTGCAGTGGTGAAGTTCTCAGCATTGGGGAAACAGAAAGGCAAATGAAGTGGGCACACACAGCCAGGAGGCAGAAGTGGGCACCGTGCTTGTACCCGTTTCACAATGTGGTGTGTGTGTCTGTGTCTGTATCTGTCTAATCTGTCTGTCTGTCTAATCTGTGTGTGTGTGTGTGTGCGTGTGTGTGTGCGTGTGTGTGTGTGTGTGTGTGCGTGTGTGTGCGCGTGTGTGCGCGTGTGCGCGTGTGTGTGGGCGTGTGTGCGGGTGTGTGTGTGTGTGTGTGTGTTCCAAAGCCAGGAACTGTGCCTCATGCTGAATTTGCTCTCTCCTTGCCCAAAAGAAAAGGCTGTATACTGATCAGAGAGCTCTGGATCGATTGGCCCAGAAGTTAAGTGACTTACTTAGAACAGTGCACCACTAAGTTAAAACAATTCCCACACATCCTTACTCTGCACCAAGTCTTCATTGCTCCGGTGGCCTCCATGTCCCCAGAGACACTTCTCTAGTGTGGCCAGAGTAGATGGGAGTAATTGATGGATGACAACCTGTCCCTAAAGCTGCTACTCACGGATACAGGTCTCCTGGATCGGAGCACCTGGGCGTCGATTCCGGAAATAGTGTAGCTGACAGCGCTCACAGTTCCTGCCCTCAGTGTGGTCCCGGCAGTTGTCGCACACGCCTCCCTGTGTCCCCTGGCTGGCAGCAAATACAGCTGGGTCGAAGTGGCATGTCTCCGAGTGCCCATTGCAGTCACACCCTGGAAGTGGGGGAGCCAAGGCTGACCGATGAGGCAATGCCAGACCACCGCCATCGCAGCCCCCACGGCAGGTGTCCAGCTGCACTCTACCAACTCTGCAAGGTGAAGCAGGGAACCAGACCAAGGCCAAGGGAGGCTGTGAACAGGTATTTAAGGGTGAGTGGAAGAGCACCCAGGCGCCGAACTCCCAGTATAGGATGGCCTCCAGAAGAAAGGAAGGCCCCAGCACACACTCCGGCCCTCAGTACAGCCAAGACTGGGTCCCTGCCTCTTTGTGGGCTGTCCAGACAAAGGTTTCAAAGTAGGAATGTGATCACAGGGAGCCAGATGTGTCTGACACAGAGGAAGGAGTGGCCACAGGGGCTCTGAAAGCACATCATCAGCAGGGACTGAAGGCCTTCCAGACCTGGCTGAGCGGTGGAGGCAGTAAAGCCTTACCAACCCTACTCCAAACTAGAGCTCTTAAACAGGGCCGCAATTCAGCTTTTGTTCAAGTAGCAAAAGCCAGATTCCCAGCGTCCCAGGTGCGACAGAAAAGGTCGTTCCCATCTCAGTCACTATGGCCAGGGGTGATCCCAGGGTCCTACTTTGACACTCATGGGCGTCCTGGCCTTCCGCGGGTCTCCATGGCAGGTTGTTGTAAAAGGGGGCACAGCGCTCACAGTTGGGGCCCGCTGTGTTGTGCTGGCAGACACAGACATCATGGACCTGAGAGAGAGGCCAGTCACCAGAAATGATTCACAGGACAGTCTGAGAGCTAGACCGGCCCACTCCCTCCAAACCAACCTGCCTGGCTCTTAGAACCTAGCCCAGACCCCAGCCCTTCCAGGACACTGTCCCTGAATGCACTGGTCTTCACACAGCTCCTGAAACACCTGTGGTCTGGTTCTGTCTGTGAACATGTGTGCTGTGTGCCTGTGCAGAGGTGACCATGTGCATGTGTATCCCACACAGCTCCTGCAGCAAAGTCTTCACACGGCCTTTCTTGCAGTCAGACACCCATGATACCCAGGCCAGGGCCCAGTGGAAGGTGGGAGACATGGTGCTGATGAACTGTGGGACTCTGGAAGCCAACAGAATAGGCTCTCTGCAGATTTAGTCTGGCAATCTGTGACTAAGCTGCTTGGCTGGTGGGATATGCATGATGAGTTGTTACTAGACTCATTAAGATATAAAAATAGAACCGCTATTGTGTGCTAATTGCCTTCCCAATTAAGCCCCACCCCCGCAGCCTCGCCTTCAGGGACCTGCATCGCTGCAGTCTGAGCTCATGATCATGTCCCCTCCCTGCACAGCTGAACCGCAAGCCAGTATTTCCCATCTTTTGTCCAATTCCAATGTTTTTTTTTCTGCTGGAATTAATTTCTGTGTCCACCAGCTAAGCCTAGCCAGTTTATTCTGTGAGATTGAGCCCTCCTTCTAGGGTCGCCCAAGCTGGCTGCACTTAACAACCACCTGAGCAGCGGGTTCAAAAACACCAGAGCCCTAACGCAGTTCAACCTGAACCTGGAGGGCAAGTGTGAGGCATCGGGATTCCTCAGGTGCAGTCCTGAGCGCCTCCCTTCCCTCCCCGCATTTCTCCCATGTAAGCCATCCCACTCAGCCTCTGGTTTTCCTAGTCTATCTTTCAGGCCCTACGGGGATCCTGGGGCCCCGAGGCAGCTCCCTCTGGGCTCCTCTGCAGACTGGGGCAGGAATCACCCCAGAAGTGCACAGAGCAGAGACCGGGCTGTTCACTTTGTGAGCCTCCCTCCTCAGCTGCCTTCTATGACATCTCCAGTTCCTCCAACACCAGGGCAGACACCACATGCTTTTAGGTTGACAGACAAACCCCCTGGGAGAGGCAAGCGGTGGGCCTACTGTTCCCTTACCCAAGCCTCTCCCACCTCCCCCGAGTCGTCGAGTTTGCGTTCCCAGCAAACCCCCAGGAAGTTTCTCCTCTCTACCTCCACTATATCAATCTGCCTGATCTGGGGTGGACCCTGTGTCTGTAATAAGCACAGACCTCTTGGCTTACTCTGCACCACACCTCCAGATGGGTAGAACCCCCCGCCAAGGCTGTCAACTCTGCAGGACACTAGAACAGCCTGGAGCTACAAATGCCAGTTATAAAATCAGAATGTCTGAGGTAGAGGTGTTAAATGCCCATGTCTCTGTTTTTATGTTTGCTTGTTTGGGGAGATTTTTTGAGGCAGGGTATCCAGTAGCCCAGCTAGCCTCAAACTCACTATGTAGCTGAGGATGAACTTGAACTCCTGATGCTCCTGTCCCTTCCTCCCAAGTGCAGGGATTACAGGTATGCACCCCCATGCCCAGCCTTTGTGCAAGTAGGCAGGGGCGAAAGGCATCCTAAGTGTTCTATCACTGAGCTATGTCACCAGCAATACCCACGACTTAAATTGAGAGGCCACCCTACTTCGTGGGAGCTTATGCCCTGGACCTACTCCCTCCCAGCCTTCCCCACCCTGGGCTGTCACCTGTACAGCAGTGGAGGGTCCTGCAGGGCCCCCGGGACTGGGGGCACAGCGGTCGGCATGTCCATGACAGAAGCAACTCCCCTGCAGACGCAGCTGCGACACTGCAAAGTAGGCACTGGGCGGGTAGGAGCCCCTCTGAGGCAGAGGGGCCAGCTTGGTGAAGTTGACTCTCAAGTTTGTGATGTCCCCTAACTCTGAGCGTAGCACCAACAAGGGAAAATAAAGACAGAGTTAGAGGCAAACAGCTTCCCTCTTTCCTACTTTCCCGTTACACTAATGGCATCCCAGCCACTCTGAAGGAGTTGGAAGGAACTGGACATTCCCATGATGCCAGGTCCAACCTGGTTCATTCCCCACTCACAGTCCCACAAGCAAAAAAGGACTTAGCTGAACCAACCTTGAATTTTTTTACTTTGAGATACAGGGATCCCGGATGCCAAGTCCATAAGGTTAAGTTGGACCTATACAGAGAGGGTAAGGTTAGAACTGGAGATGAGTGGTGTGCCCACACTCAGAAGCCTTCCTCTCAGTCCTGAGAGGCTGTGGATGTGAGGTCTGCTACCTGCCCTGGGTGAGCAGGTGAACGCTGGACCCTAAAGTGTGTGTGTGTGTGTGTGTGTGTGTGTGTGTGTGTGTGTGTGTGAGAGAGAGAGAGAGAGAGAGAGAGAAGAGAGAGAAAGAGAGAGAATACAGATACACCAAGAATTTCATGATATACATCATCTACAGATGAGGGTTTGGAAGATATCAACTTCCTTTTTCATTATTAGTTTTAATTTAAATTTTTTAATTTATTATTGTTTGTATATGCTGTGTATGTATAGGCACATGTGGACCACAGCGAGTGTGTAAAGGTCAGAGGACAACTTTGTGGAGTAGGTTCTCTCCTTCTATCTTTATGTGGGTTCTGGGGATCAAACTTGGGTGGTCAGGCTTGCACAGCAGCACTTCCTACCTGCCGAGCCCCTCACCAGCCAGCTCTATTTTTTTACATTAGCACACACAACAATGGGCTTCATCTGGCATTTTCATACATGGGAGATAGTAACTTTCTAAATACCATATCAATAAGAATGATCCAGGGTCCAGGGGCATGTGGGTAAAGTGACCATGCTGGGCAGACCACCCTGTCGCCCTCAATTTTGAGTTGACTTTTAGTTCTGCTACAAAGCACTCATCCAATATGACTTGCTGGGTACATCCCCATTAAGTTTTCACTTCGACTCCCCATGAATGAGGAGGAAGCCTGAGCTTTGCTCTGGGATCAGGAGCTGTGGACACTGGCTGGACAAGGGTCTAACCCTTAGGCAGATGTGAGGAGATCCCCAGCCACAAGGGGGCAGGACCCGTGCCTCTCCTGGGATGGGGTTAGCCTTAGGGTAGAAATCCACTACTTGGGGAAAGAGTCACAGAAAAGCATTCTGGGCATTTTTTCCAGAAGGCTGTCATTGCTAACCCCAGATGCCCTCAGAGCTCTGGGTTATCCCTGAATCCCCTCCCTAAACCAGGTCTGGTAGATGAATAGATTAAACCAAAAAAATTCATTTTTGTGTGAAAGTCCATGAAAGTAAAAGTAATGTGGTATTTGCTGACGTGCATGTAGCTAGCCACCCTCATGCCCTCACAGGAAATCCACAGAGGTATGTGTCCATGAGCCCCACAGGAAGAGGATGGAGGGAAGCAGGGCTAGAGATAAGCTGGTGACCTCAAGATGCTTCTGGAAGGTTCCAACAAGAGAACCTGACCCCGTGTGTTCTCACTCCTTAGCTGGGAGACATGGGGTTTCTCCCTGTGTCTGCTTGTTCAGGTTCCCTGGACCTACCTTTCCCCCAGTTAGATGCCCATTAGGTCTGTTAGGTCTCTGGGGCAGGGGCTGGCACCGTGCATCCTGCCAGTTCTGAGGCTGGCCCCGGAGGACTTGGGGGAAGGCACTGGCACAGTCTGCAGCCAGGTACTGGTACACTCGCCAGGTCTTGCCAAAGTCAGAGGAGCGCTCGATGAGCATGCCAGCAGGCGTGGGACCCTGGGGAGATAGAAAGGCTGAGGGTGATGGGCTGGCAAGTGGCTGAGGAAGAGACAAAGCAGAAAACAGGCTCCTACAGAGAGGACAGAGAGAGGAACCCAGCAGGAGGACGGGGGCTCAGAGCACGCTGAGCCAATGGAGATCTGTCCTATATTCTAGAACAGTGGTCCAGCCTTACTTCCAGGCACCCAGGCCTGAAAACTGTACCTCCTGCCTTCCCAGCCACCCATTAATCCACTAGACATGAGAAGTGTGTCTTCTCTCTCTCTCTCTCTCTCTCTCCCTCCCT